ACAAAAAAAAAAAAAAAAAAAAAAAAACCCCGAAAAAGGGGAAAAAAAAAAAAAAAAAAAAAGGATAGTTCGTTGATCCGGAGTTTGCTGAAATCTAATTTGAAATTCGGTATTAACTAATTAAGTTCGAGGCGGAAAACCGCTCGTAGCCGTAGGAGAGAGGGGGGGACCCCCCTCCCTCCGACCCTGGCACCCCCCCGGACCGCCCCAGGCCTCGGCTTCGGAGGCTGCCAGGGGCTGGAGAAGCAGCGGGGGCACCCCCGGTCCCCGCAGGGTGCCCGACCTGCCTCCCCCGTGGGGCTGAGGGGAGGGGGGGGTGCCCGGACACGGGTGGGATTTGGGGCACCGCCCCCTGGGGGGGGGGGGGTCCTCCCTGCCCGGTCCTTACAAAACCAGGGTATGGGAGCTCGTCCTTCAACGCGACATCCCCAGGATGTCCCGGCGGGGCAGAGGGGTCCCCCCCGGGGGGGGACGGGGCGGCTCGGTGGGGACCACCCGGGCTGGCGGAGGGACCGGCGGTTCCCGGGAGATGCTTTGGCCACCGGTACCTTCAGGCTTTGGAAATATCACCTCCCCGCAGGTATAATTCAGCTTAACTACAGAGATAACTATCGCTGCGGCGGGGAGGCTTGTAAAAACGCGAGGGTCTTCCGTGTGTTTCTCTATTTATTTCGGAGAAGGAAAAACGTTTCCGTGGGAGATCTCCCCAGCGAGGCAAAGGGTCCGGGCCCAAAATATAGGGGACCTGGCTCTGCACGGCTTCCATGCCACCCTTCTGGGGGTTCCCCTGCCGGCCCCTCACCCCCCCAGCACCCCCTTCCAGCTAGTCCCGAAAAGCAGCGTCTCCCCGAATCGCTCGCCCGGCCGAGGCTGTTGCTGGTCCCTCCGGCAAGGAAAATGAAAAGGACTGTCTGTCTTCACCGGAGAGAGAAACGGGACCGGTCAGCCGGCCCGATCACGGGAGAGATATTACATGTCACAACTCATCTAGGGCTCCATAATCAGCGCTAACTTTCTGGTGAACAGATAACCAGAGATGGCAGATGGATGGAGATTGCACAAATGAGGCTCTAATTGACAATCAATTGTGATTAGGAGCAATAGAACATCTTTATAACACTCGCTTTAAACCGCCAACAAACAAAAGCGCCGGGCGGGCTGGGGGTCCCGTCGGGATGGGGCCCGGGATTGCCTGCCCAGTATAACTGCTGTGTCCCCCCAACTCTGCCCCCACCCCCGGGGGGGTCTCTCGGTGCCCATGGGGCCGGTGGTACACGTCGGGGTGACCAGGAGGTGTCTCGGTTTGGGGGTGCTCCCTGGGGATGCGGCTCCTTCTCCTCCAAACCCCCGGAGCAACCCCGGGAATTTGGGCTAATTTAGCCGCTCCGGACTCCGCACGCTTGGGGACTGTCCCTGCCCGGGCAACCGGGCACAGAGATTTAATTAGAATTAGGATAATTTTTTTTCTAGGATGTACTGACCCGGGGAATAAAAAATATCCCTACCGCGGCCACCCCCTCAAAACCCGCATTTTCTCCGAAAAAAAGGTGGAAACGCAGGCGACTACCGCAGCAAATCTGATGAAGCCAAGTCATTGGCATCTACCTAAACTACCACCTATTTTTCCTAAATAATATCGCGGAACCGCGGGCAGAAGTCACGGGAGGCAAATTTATCCGAAAGAAGAGACGAGATCAGAGGCACGGCCGGAGGAGGAGAAGGAGGGAAAGGGGAGCTGCTAGCACCCAAACAAACAGATACCCATGGGTGCGTGTTGGTGTAAGTGCGTGGACGCGCAGATTAAAACTTCGCTCTCGCCCTGTGTTCGTGGCAGCCCCGTCGGTAAGGTCAGGGAAAGGGGGAGAGGTAATTACCTACACATGATCAGAGATTATACATACCATTTCAACCCAGGAGGTGATTTATAATTTAAAGATAAAGCATAATAAAGTCATAAAAGGGAAAGGACACTGTTGTGGTGTCTGATTAAAATCTAAGGGCTGGTGTATAATATATGAGCGGGGGCTGTTGTGGGCTCCCGCTCAGCGGGACTCCCCTGGGCCCAGCCCGCTGATGGACTAATCATGTCCAAGCCCTACCAAAATTACAAGCTGATTGTTTTACCCATTATTTCTCCCAACTTTTAATTTCTGCTTTCTAAAGGATCATTGCCCGCGGTAATTGCAAAGGACCTGTCCTTGTATGTGTCACCAGCCTCAAAGACAAAAAAAATCTAATTTTCCTTTTATGCTTTCTCTATTTTCCTACCCCCCCCCCTTTTTTTTTTCCTGGCAGCTAATTCAAACTGAGTAGCGACTGAAGCGTCCAAAACAAGAATGAAATTGATATGATCAAAGCACACACGGCCATACACGAAAGGGAAGGAAATTAGGTAGGGGAAGAAATTCGGGGTTTTATAATTGGCAGATAACTTTTATTCCTCTCTCTTAATTTTCCATAATTAAAACCACTTTTAATAAGAGAGTATTTTTTTTCGAAAGTGGAAGTTGGGTCTGGTTATTGCTTTACTCCTGCACGGGAGGGAACAGACCTTTTCTCCCAGTTACTCAGAATTTATTGATCGTCGTGTTTTGTCTTGTGCCGTTTAAACGTATTAATTTTCTTCCAGCACTTTCCTGGCACTTACATTTGATATTTAATTTTAATTAATTAGCTAAGGGAGAGAGAGAGAGAGAAGCGCGTGTGTATCCGCGAACACAAGCCCCGCTCCAACCGCTAAACCTCCGTCCATAATTTTCTCCTTTTGTTCTAATTTAATAAAACCAGCAGGGAAGGGAAACAGGTGCTGGGGGCTGACACCTCTGAGCCCACACACATAATCCCCTTTTGATCATCTAAACCCACCATTAGGGATGGAAGACCTTAAGTTCCCATTTTCTGTGTATAATATCTTTTTTTATATTGATCCCGCAATTATTTAAAAGAAAGCGGCATCCCCTCCCACTTCTCCAAATAAGGCTATTTAGATGCTTTCCAGATGAGTGGAGGTGTGCTGAAACAGAGCTGACAGCCAAGTATATCACAGCCAACACCATCCTTCATTCGCTCTCTCCCTCTCTGCCCCCCCCCTCCCCCCGGCACACACTTTCACCGTGTCTCTCCTCCAGTGATGAAGATTACAGACTATTATGGGCAAGGGATTAATTTGTAGCCAATTACAATCCAGTGCTAAATATGAATGCATAAATAAGATACAGCCTTGCCTCTGTGTGTATGTGTGCGGGGGT